TTGTTGGACCCTCTCCTCCCCCTCCTCTACTCCATATGCACTCATACACAAATTATTCAACTTGGGACAGCCCATCCCCCTCTGTGCGTACGTAATATACAGATGGCCCCTTTTCTTTTTTTCTTTTTTTTTTTGCCTCCACAGCAGTACCTTCTGGAATAGCAGGACTGTCTTTCTTTGTTAAGTTTCAGATCATAATAATTTTCAGACTATCTGCAACTTATTTGAACATGCGCAACAAATTTCTCCAGTGTTTTGATGTTTTTTAGAAATGTTAAGCTTTTTTAAAAATTCTCTCCTGTTTGTTTGTTATAGTGTATAATATCTTTACATATGTTATGTATATAATATCTAAAACTTCAAAAGTATTTTTTTTGTTTGTAAAAAAACACTTGTAAAAAAACATTTTAGAAAAATAAGCCAAGATAAATAAAAAAAAAAGGTGCCAGTAGTAGGATTTGAATGGTACTTTGCTTCAGGACCTCTGCAAACTAACCACTCACCCACACAGGCGTATTGTATGACAAAAATTTTAAACTATCTAAAAGATAAAAAAAAAATTTTATAAAACAAAAAAGGAGATGTTGCTACAATGCAATTTTCAAGTAAAACTTTCAATCGTGTTTTTTTATTAAAAATGTGCTGTGACTCTTTCTTGCCAATATAAAATAACACTTATAACTTAGTTATGAGTTATTTAAAAGAACTTTTTGTATTGATGTCATTCATTAACTGCAAAAGCGCATTAATCAGGCCAGTTTTTTTTGATAAAAAAAAACCGGAACATAACTTATAAAGAAAAAAAAATGGTGTTGAAAATAATAAAATTTTTTGATTATATCTCAATAAATAATAAGTTTTGGAAAGTTTAATTGACATAAAAATTTTTTAAAGGATTATTTAAGATATGAACACAACTTGTCTTGGGGATCCCTTTATATAAAACATTCTTTTTTTTTGTTTTGTTTTAGCTATATTATTTTATTTAAAAATTCAATAAAGCTATAATTAAGTTTATTTGAGATAAAAAATAAACTTAATTATTAAAATTCTGAGGTCGGCAATTTTTGATGTATATCAGACACTGTCAGGTTGGCAGTTACGTCAGCATAGTCAAATGCTGAGCCTTATTCCCTGTACTAATTATTAGTTGTTGGGCTGCACACATTGTTATCCAACCAAGAGACATGATTTTCATTGTCAGTAACATATGTAAAAGTGTTAATTTTAGGGTTGATATCAGGTTGACAAAGAGTAGCTTGTTCAGCTATTATAAGTTAGACTGAGTAGTGAATGAAATCCTCCATCATAAAAGCTTTGTATGTTTTCCAAAGATGCAAATGATTGTCATGTTTACAAAAGGTCAAAATAACTGAAAACAACTAATTTACTTTATAATATGTGTTAAATCTGCCTCAGAAAGAGTTTTCTACCATTCAGTGTCATCCTTCAACAAATATCATTAACAGTATGTGCAACCTCCCAAGATGTGTGAGCATTTCATAGACAATACAGGCTCAGGCTGTGATACACATCTTTACGGCCTCAGGCTGTGATACACATCTTAGAGCATGGTTTAAGTTTAATTCTAAAAAATAAATAAGAAGCTGGTTGCTATTCATATATAGACATTTCATATCACTTAATATTTGATAATAAACATTGTAAATGGAAGGTTAAACAATGTTTAGTTATCAATAGGCAACAATATAGATAACTGTTTAGTTATACCTACACTGTTGTTAAAGGTTGCATGTCTGTTAAGATTTAAATATTTTTACAAATACATATACAAGGTACACAACTAATCTTGAAAAACCATTATGAACTGCTACTGTGTTGACATTATTTCAGAATTTTTTTTTGCTGAATACTCTGTCTTTTCTACACAGAAAATTTGGACTCAATATACCACATGGGCTATGAGTTATGCAAGTTTAAATAATGTCATGAAGTTCACTGTTAACAATTAGGTTTTCTGCAGATATTATTTAATAGCAGAGGTTTTAATTTTTTATTTTATTTAATTTGAGTTTAAATATTTGAGTAACTAAGTCAGTTCAATAATTTGCAGTCTGACTTGTACTCCATAATGATTTGTAAGTAAATTTGTTAAAAAGATCTGGTTTACCATAATTTTTATTGATAGCCATCTTCAAAGTTTTTTAAAGCTCTAGAACTTTCTACATAAATTGATGCCAAAACTACAACATTACGATCATTTCCAAGGTTGTTTAGGTGAAAAAAAACACAATAAAGTGAATTAAATTAACTAAAAACCACTTCAGCTCTTTCCTATTGTCCTAAAAAAATAAATATAAATAAAATTTGCTTTGTTAGTAACCAAAGGTGTTCTCAAAAAGACTAAAGACAAAATTAAACTGACAAAAAAACCTAAAACCTGATTCAAAATGGTGTAAAATGATGGTAAGGATTAAGTAAACATTAGCTACAGTATTAATATATTTTACACTTTGGCTGTACAAAGTGTGTGTGGAGGCATTATTTTCTTGAAACTATCACCATTACTTTTTATTAATCAGCGTGTCTACTAATGTAGCTTTGCAATTCTCTATCATCTCTGTAAAGATGTCCTTGTTTATTCAGTCTGTATAAAGATGTCCTTGTTTATTCAGCCTGTATAAATGTTGCTAACTCCTGATCAGTTAAAATTAAAACAGCTCTAAATACTCTCTTTGGTATATTGCTATCTCTGTAAAACATACTAATTACTATACTATTCAGATTTATTTCTTTTAAAACTTTTTCTATTTATTACTTCAAAGTTAACTTTCATCACTAAAAATTAGCTGCTTCTACTTTTTCAAGACCACTATTTTCTTTTAAAAATTTCTTTTTTTTCTGTAAAAAAAAAAAAAAAAAAAAAAAAAAAAACAAGGTCTTGCTGGGTGGGTCAGCAGTGTTTTCAACAGAAAAATGACTAAAATATGATTAATTAACAGGGGCAAATTATAATTTTTCAAAAAAAAAAAAAAAAGTGTAAAATTATTAATAAACTCAATAATTACTATGTTGAGTTTTGAGAACATTGAATAATTGGTTCAAAAAGTCATAAAAATGAACTCAAGTTAGTTTTTGTGAAGGGTGATTTTACAAAAATTAAGCACTTTTTTCATATTTTATACAGAGGATGAGATAGCATAGTGCATCATTTTTTCCTGTTTTCATCAAATTTTTAAAATAAAGGCATTTTTGTGAAGAATTTTATTGGGAATCTAGAAAATAAAAATTCTCTTTGAACATGAAAAAAAATTGTTTAAAAAAAAATCATTGTAAAATATTTGATAAACTCAATATAATCTATGTTGAACTTTACAAAAAAATGTCACATTTGGTTAAAAAGTCAAAAATAACCACATAAAGGGGTTTTTGTGAAAGTTGTTTTAGAAAAATTATTTGATTTTTTCATATTTTAGACAGTAAATGTTACTGTAGAGTGCGTCGTCATTTCCTGTTTATATTAGGTTTTAAAAATAAGGATAGTTAATTTTTGCGAAGATTTTTATGAGAAATCCGAATCGTCAAATAAAAAATAGATCTGCAAATGTGTTACTTAAAGGATCTACTTTTTTCCAACAAAAAATGTATATAATAAGACTAATTAGAAGGAAGAATTATAATATTTGTAATTATATATTATAATTATAGCTATTTTGTTAGGTAGTTGAAAAAATATTACAAAAGTAAAAATTGAAGTAGAAGGATCCATGCAGCTTTTTCCCATATCTATTAAACATTACACTACATGCATGGAACATTTATTTTTCATTTTACAGTAAGAAAAAAATTAAAGGTTGAACTGGTTTATATGCGCTCTTCATTTTAATGAACTACTCCTCAGACATCTAATAGTTAAATCAGACAAAAAAACACTTTCAAAAAATGGTCTGGCGAATTAGGAAAACTGTTACAGAACCGGCTGCAAACAAAAACATTGAAAAAGTAACTTTAGGTGAACCACTTATTGTTTTTCCAGACAAAATATATAAGGATCTTTTCCTTTTCTAGATATTTCAGAAAATTCACGTTATTTCTTTAAAATTTTATTTTTTCCAGATATCTAAATAGATTTCTGGGAATAGTTTAAAATATTTTTTTGTCATCCAATAAGTAAGACAGTAAAGGTATTGTTGAAAATAATTTTTTTATATTAATTTGTAAACTCAGTTTAAATTGAAATACTTTTCTTTTATATAAAAGAATTCCTGTCAAAACCTAAAATCTTAGTCGATGTATGTATCCTCCACTGCGCCTATCTGCATTTAAGTAAGTCAATGTATGTACACTCCATTGTGATTACAGTTTTAATAATTGATTTATATACGTATTAATGCACATATTCTATGAAACTTTGAAAAAAAAAAAGACATCAAGTTAAAAAACATTAAATAATATTACAAATTGAGTGTACAAATGAGTTTCTTTATCTCATATCTTTCTTAATAATATTTATGACTGTAAATACTAGGTCATTATTTTACTAATTTTGAAATTTAAAATATTTAAACATTTTTTGCAATTAATATTAAAATTATGTGCATAATGTTAAAAATATGTTTTATATTAAATAATTAATTTATAATAACACATTAATGTCCTGGAGAAATTTAGCAGAAATATCAGTATTTTTTTGCGTAAAAAACAGTATTTGCCGTAAAAAACCTGATAAAAAAAAAGGTCCTCAAATTTTAATTTGGGCGGCACCCAAATACGGGTGACGCTGTCGAAAACAGTCTAGAATAGCTCCTGATATCAGCTTGGTGAAGAAGGCATGTGATTTCACTTCATAATATGACCACGAAATACTATCTGATTTTAAAACTTGACCACAGCTGTTAATATGTTTTGAAAGTTTGTATACATCTTAACAGTGAAGAAACTTGAAAAAAAAGAAAGGTATTGTTCTTTTGGACAATACCTTTCTACTTTTTGAGAAAATTTTTTTATTAATTTACTATTTTTTATTTTCTATTGTTCAGTGGTCAATGTAAAGTTAATATATGTGATAATGGTGGTTCTTGTATTGTAACAAAAGAAAATACAACAATATGTCATTGTGCTAGTGGATTTTCTGGTATTTTTTTATTTTTATTTCAATAATATATTTAAATTAAATTTTTTGCAATAATATATTTAAATTAAAAATTATGAAAAATGTTCAAAAAATTTTTAAAAATGTTTCAGAAATTTCATTTTTAAAAAGGTTTTTAATAAGTTTATTGAAAGTGTTTGAGATGTTTTTTTATTATTATTCACCTCACCAAGGACACAGTGGGTCGGAATGCCCATTTTTGTGCCAAAATTATTTTTTTATTAAATATTATTAAATTTGATTTAAATAACATACTTAGAGCTTCTAAATATATTTGTGACTAAAAAAAGATTTTATTAATTGTTTTTTTTTTTTAAATAATTATAAATAAAGCAAAAAAATTTTTAAAAATGCATTTTTTCACATCTTTTCAACTCAATTCAAACAAAATCCACAGAGTAAACATTAAAAAAATTACAGTATACTGATTTAATATTACACAATCTTATCAAAAAAATACTTTCATATCTTATCAACTCATTCAAACACAATTTACAATTTTAAGGCAACTATCTATGTCTGCATATATTTAAATGGAGTATTTACAAATTTACAATGTTATCTCCTGATAATAATAGTTGCAAAACCTCAACTGGAAAGTCTATCTTTTTTTGAAGTGCAGGTTTGCCTCAAAGATGTATGACAATATCGGATGAGCATAGAAATCTTTTCAAAATGTTCTCATTTGCCATACATCTTGAAGCTTTTCGAGCATGACGCTCTCGAAACCGTTTGAAAAATTTGTTTGCTGCCTTCTGTGCTTGTTCACTCATGATTCCAATTGGCAGTGACATTCTATTAATTGTGGCATGTAGTACCATGGGTACATTTTCACAAACAACTTTGCAGTTTCTGTACACATCATGGTAAACTTTTCAGTATTTATTTCATAGTCAGTTGATATGCTTGCCAAAATAATGTGCAATTTTAAAATTAGTTCCTCATCGACACCTGTTATATTTGCAAAAAAAATGGCATCAGTAAGCTCGTCGAGAGGTGTTGCCATCATTAGATGTACCAGATCCTCCAGACTTTGGTTGATCAACAACAAGGCCCATCTGTTGAAGAAAAGCTTGTTGGATGTGAGACTTTATTTCAGTAACTTGTGCTTTGTTTTCTGCTGTTCTTGCTTGCCACTTTTTGATAATTTAAAAATTAACTAATTAAAAAAACTTGTGATTTGTTTGTCACATGCAAAATTTTAGTTATAACCTGCTATCTAAAAGTGAATTTGTGGACAAAGTGGTAACCTGTAAAAACACATCATCTTAAAAATTAAATAAAATTTCTTACTTACAAGCAAAAAATGTGCAGCGAAGTTATTTTCTTTAAAAAAATATCAATCTATCAATGTATAAAAAAATTATAGCGCAAATAATTTTAAATAAAAAATAGTTTACAAATTCTGTGTAGCAACACATATTTTATTAATTTTTATTTTAAAACTTACAAATCTTGAAAAAATATATTACTTCAAATGGCCATGTAAAATTTTAATATAAAAGCTAGTGACAAAAAAATATCTTTTTTTTAAAGCTATGTATGTATGGAAAACAACTATTACCATTAAACCTACATTAAACAAAATTTTTTTATTTTAATTTGGCACACCTTGACCCACTGTGCACAGTGGACCCAGAAAGTTTAAGAACTAATGATTAAGAAATCCTAGAAAACTTATTGAAGACTTTTTGTAAAGATATTTTTTATAACATTTTTTTTTTTTTTTTTTTTGTATTTTATCTCTCTAAGGCCAAGAAGGCCACTTGTGGTTATAACCCTCTCTCATCTCTATAACTCTGAAACACGAAGCTTGACGAACAAGGCCGCTGTGCGGAGAAACAAGTTGAGCGCGGTACTACCAGGGATGTGGTGAATGGAACTTAGAACCTCTCCCTTATGAAGCGAGCGCTCTACCACTACACCACTACTGCATATAGTTATGAATATAATTTATAATATAAATTATAATAAATATAATATATAATACAAAGCATATAAATATAATTATATTGACATTAAAATATAAATATAATTTAATTATAAAGAAAAAGTTTTAATGGTTTGAAATTGCAACATATATTTGAAGATGAAAACTTTAAAAAAGTAAAAAATTTTAATAACTCCTTAACTAATCATATATATCCTTAAGTTTTTCAAACATTAAAATTTCTCCTTGGTTAAAACACATGTTCATGATAACTTATTGTATGCTTATTTGAACAAAAAACATGATCTAACTTTGAAAGATGTGAATGGATAAGTCTTTAACTTTAAATAAATTGCCAAGGCCAGAACCATTATAAAGAATAATTAATTCAGCTGAGTGATGAAGGACTCCATGAAGAGTGTGGTAAATTTCTGCTTATGGCATATTTGCAATAATGTTAATTGTAACATTACTACATAGCTCTTAAAGTTGGATAATTTTATATTTATGTTGACAAGAAACTATAGGAAGTATTACATTAATATCAAATCATTAATATCAGTCCACTGTTTTCTTTTATTTTAGTAATAACCCTCTCTCTTGCATTATGTATTGCTTTACCAAGTAGTCCTATTTTTTAACCCAAAGTTTATATTATGTGACACTGGTACAGTAGTTTTAAAAACTAGGTAGTCCCACTTATATATAAATGTGTAATATGAATTTTTTGATCAGATTCGGTTTGTGGTTTTACATTTTTTTTGTGGAAAAATCTGGAAAAATCTTCAGTATATATGTATATATATATATATATATATATATATATATATATATATATATATATATATATATATATATATATATATATATACTTATATATATATATATATATATACTTATATATATATATATATATATATATATATATATATATATATATATATATATATATATATATATATATAAGTATATATATATATATATATGTATATATATATATATATATATATATATATATATATATATATATATATATATATATATATATATATATATATATATATATATATATATATATATTATATATATATTGACTCTGAACATTCATTAGTGAAAAAGATGTTTATATAATTGACAAGTTTCTTTGTTCTTTCCTTTTTCATTTAATCAAACAGTTCTTTAAATGATTTTCTTTGTTTTCAAACACACGGTTTTGTATTGTAAACATCCTCTAATTTATAAATAATATCTTTTGGTGCTTGTGAAAGTTTAAATACATATCCATTTTTCTTAAAATGTTTTTTTCTTTCTGAAGTTTAAAACAGTTTCATTCTTTTTCACACACATTATTACACTCCTGTGAATTAACTGATAGTCCAAAGTTTCAAAAAATTGTTTCTTTAATTGCTGAGTATGATATTGAGTTGGACTCTAAAGCTTTGTCAGCTTTAATAAATTGTCAGCTTTAATAAATTGTGCGAAAAAATCATAGTGAAATATTCTAATTTTTCTTCATTAAATTAATTTTTTAGTTTACTTAGCTTATGTTGAAACACAGACAAAATAAAATGAATAAATAAAAGTTAAACATTTTATATATTTGTAACCATGAATAGAATATTCAAAGATTTTTAGAAAAAAAACTGTTTCACTGTTCAACTTTTTTAAATCATGTAAATAAAAAAAGTGCTGACTTGCTTCAGTTCCCCATAAAATATTTTAAAAGAAGAAATGTTAATTATTTTTATGTATGCTATAGTAAAAAGTCAAGTTAGCACTTTTAACCAAAACTTAAGATCTAATCTAGTTTTATTTTTTATAAATACATTTACAATAAAATTACCTAGTTAAGTTTAAAAAACTGAAAAAGAAATTAAAATTTAATTAGAAAAAATTAAACATTTTTAATTAATTTATTTAAATATATTTTATATTAAATTAAAAACAACTTTTACATTTACTTTTAACTAAAATTTTTATGTTGAAATGAAAACCATTCAAATTTACTAAATATTTATAGATACATAAAAAAATTTGAAATTCATCATCTTCAGAATTATATACCAACACTTAGAAATTAGCTACAAAAATAGTTTTTTATTTATTCATCACAAATTTATCTGGGTTTTTAAATAAATAATTTTTATGAGCATTCTCAAAAAATTTTTTTTATCTATTTCCACCTCTGGGTCCACTATGCTAGGCTCCAGAGAGACTCTGAGGCCAGTTGAGGAGGCCTCAAAATTTTTAATTTTATATTTTATTTGATGCTTTTACTCAATTCTAAACTCCAAAACACAAAGTTTGAGCTATGTAGGGTGTGTTTTAAGTGTAGGGTGGATTTAAACTGCTAGCCTCATGACTAAGTTGAAGATTCTAGTACTCACTTACTACCACATATTATTTATTAAAACTGTTTTACAATTTTATTTTATTTAAAATAATTTATTTGAAATTACAATAAAATACAGCAAAAATATTTGCTCAAAAATTTTTTGTACTAAAAGTAGAAGATGAACTTTGTTTTAAAAAAATAAATGTGCAGTTTTTTTTTATTTTTAACCTTTTTTTAATTCTTAACGTTCCCTTGGCTAAGGTTTTTTTTTTTTCCCTCTGAATTTTCAAACTGAAACAATTAAGCACGAGTTCATAAGAAAAAACACATAACTATTATTCTGTCAGCAAGTAATCTTTTTTGATTGAATAATTTGTAAGACATTTATTTATTTTTTTCTCACATAGTGTTTGAGTTTTGTTTTGTTTTGTTACTTTATTTTTAAATAACTTTAATAACTTTATTTTGTAATAAAAATAAATTTATTAAAGTTGATAAATTATTATGCCTTTGAAGGGGCTTAACTCTCTTGGTTCATGAGAAAAAGACTTAATTTAAAGAAAAAAAAAAAAAAGTATTTTAGGTGGGCAATTTATTTGCATAATAATTTTTTTACATTAAACCGTTACATCTTAGGTAGTATAATTGGCACTGAGTTTACTCAGAAAGGCACTGTAAGCGAGATTTTTCCATTTTAGAAAAGCAATACTTTATTCT